CAAACAGCTATTTTAACTTACGATCAGCCTGCTTTTTCGCGAACTCTTCATGTCATCTTTAACAGCGCAAATTTACCTGGCGACTTCCTTTTTCGGAGGTCTCATCTTTAGATGTGGTGCACTCTAGTGGCTGCACCATAGGATTATCCTCAATGGTTTCATTTCCATTCCACTAGCGTGAGCGGGGGCTCAGATGTCATGCGAAGTCGTATTTTTTGACTTAAATGTTTGTGCCGGTAATCACTAGCCGTCTACTATTAGGTTTTAGCGACTTATCAGCTGAGAGTGTAGTCAGAGCCCTGCAATCGTCAGGTCGATTCCCAAGTTGTAAGAAAAAGACGAGAGGGACCAACATGAGAGGTTTAATGTTTACAGAATGCAGAGTTGTCCTTTCAGGCGGCAGTGGCTGCTGGCGAAGCCAGGGCTGGTGTTGACTGCATTCAGTCACGCCTGAGAGTCCCTGGGACAGTGGTGGCGGCCGCTTTTGTAGGCTGATGAGTCAAACTCAAGTGGTCTCCATGTTGTGTGTTGCATTTGCCGAGGAGTGGTGACCCCAGTGGCATAAATTGCTGGTTGCAAAGGAGTAGCGCGTTCAGGTGGCGCATGGGCAACCGCGACCCTGTGCGGACGCAAGTGTGTCCGAGCTAAAGTCGGTAGAGTTGTTTCAGGTCAGTGCTTCTGGAACGGCTCACTACAAAGGGTGAATGACTTTGAGGCAGCGAGACCTTAAACAATAACGCCAGATTGGCTATGTTGACTGCCCGCAACACGATCATTAAACTCGTATGCCACATGAGCTGTTCGATATGTAATCCAATGTGTTACGTCTACTTTTCCATTGTGGTTCTGACGTACGCCTCGGAAATAATGAAATGTTTACCAGGCTTTGATTGTTTGACGTCTACTATCGACAGATTTCTTTATCCTTTTAATTGTATGCATTCGCACAGGCAGGTTACCTATTTTTATAGGTGTACTGGCTCGACGAACAACTACTCAAAGCCGTCGTCCATTTATATTTACTCTAAAATGACTTGCTTGGTGATTTTTCGTCCTTTAAATGCCTAGGTCAAGAAGTACCAGAAAAAGTTTGATAGTCTTTGTCTAATCTGCTTCTGAGCTGGGTGTCAGTACATTTATTTAGGCCATCATACGTGCTCCTGGGACTTTTATCAAGTTCCAGCTCTGGAACGTCTTATCAACTTAAATGACCAACCCTCCATGGATGCCGTGTGGCCTACTATGTGGGCTTGCGCCGAAGGGGGCACCCAGAGTAGGCGTAATTCCCACTGGAGTCTATAGGTATTCCGTCGCACTCTGACGTCATAATACCATGTGCTCATTGAGCAAGCATGGGGAGAAACGCGTTTCCGATGACTAGGACTCGACCATCCTTGTGTCATCCTTCAAGAAGGTAGTTAAAACCGAGTGTGAGAGCTACTTTAACATAAGTCGCATAGACATTGTCGTAAAGTTTATTGCCATTTTTATTATCAGGCGGTTGTTAGAGTGTGCGTGATGCCAGAACAAAACCCAACCAACGGTAGCTTCGAGCTGACGGTGGTTGCGCCAATTCTTAGTATTAATGAACCTTGCACGGCCCCTATACCTGAAGCCTGACAGTGCGCGGCTTTTGTCAGCAACGTGCATGTCTAATGTTCGAAATAGACCCGTCGACATGAACCGGGTAGTTGTCATTAACACGTGCCTCCAGCATCGCTGCTAACGTCTACTAACTTGGTGATTAGGCCATCGTCCAGTCAGTCTAATCACAGTCTAGTCTGTACGGGATTTCGTAGTCGGGTTGATGATAGCAGATAGATGCCTGTTGCCGAAAATACCAACGCTTGTGGGTCAGGGCATGTGTTCGTTCGCACCAACCTGACAGACGGGTAATAAAATGTTCCCTGCCAGACACCTTATTTTCCTAAATCTAAGACAACTCAGAACAGTGTAGTCTCTGATCGCAGAAACCCGGTTTTGCTCTGTAGCTCGAGGTGAATGAAAAGTCATCTGCAAACTGTCATGATTGGAGTCCATACTGGGCGATGCGGTCGACAGGACTCGTGGCAGTCTGCTCCCGCGATTGCCAGCACAGCCGCTCAGTCCACCTAAAACCCCTTACTAATCAATTGCCTTAGCCGCCCATAAATTACCACCAGCGTGGCAAGAAATCGAGACCAATTGACGCTGAGTCCTTCTTTGATTTGCTGCAGTCAGACGATGCCCAGCTCACGTATGCATTTCGCATGGAAGCTAACAACCTCAATGACTGTCATTAGCTGGGCGCGACGGCTTCCGTGCTTACCCTCCTGTCTCAGTAAAGGTTGTCCTATTACTCTGTATTGGCCTGATAACCTTCGAATCGTCAACCCATCGCACCCCGACAGAATTCCCGATGCACTAAGCGGGACCACAGTGACGGCATTAGTTCAAGGAACTTGCAATTATCTGCCCAGACAGCTTAATCCTAGTCCAGCAGCCATGATTTCTTTAGCAAGATCAAGAGTATGACGGCAAAGTCGGCTAGAGATAACTGCATAAAACGATTCGGCTGATGCAGCGATATCCACGGAGGAGGCCACATTCCTCGGCGATACTAAGTTGCAACAAATCTTTCGCCAAGTCACCGGTAGACAATCTTCACTAAGTGGGTCTGTTCAGCCCAGAAGGGCTAGAGTGTGAGCACTTCGAGCAGGCGTGAGGTGATGAGCTTGTTCCGTGATGATCAGAATTCGGGATCCCATCTGCTTTTCCTAGGGAAGGGAGATAAGACGAACTGCGAGAATAAACGTAGCTTAAGTTTCGTTGACTCTGCTGCCACTGTCGTTCTTAAGAGCCCTCCAAGTGTACATGTCTCTATGAAAAAACCAAACAAGTTGGGTCCCGGGTGAGATGTGGATGCACCGATCAAGCACTCTCAGTGTGACGCATTCTTGAGCTCCGCCACGACCACCAGAAATCGACGGTTGCACATTTTTTGTTTTTGCCGCAGGTTTAGATTTCGTTCATCATGAGTTTCTGTGCCAAACAATGTAGTTAAGCGATATGCGAGCAGAAGCCACCAATACTGTCAAGGCTTGCAATCGCTGGATTGCTACAGCTGATGCCAGGCGTTTCATTCGGTTAGGTGTCTGACAAGATTACATTCTGTTGCCAATCCTCTTCAACTACACACTATTGACTGGGCTCTTGGCACAGCTCGACACAGCTTTTTACGGTGCCGACTTTGCACTCAAGCGCTGACTGTTTGACCTCAACTAGGCTGATGCTCTCGTTCTGCCAGCGTCATGGTGTGATGTCTCAGGTGATTGACTTTGCTGAACCCGTTGGTTTCCCTATAAATGCTGGGAAAACAAATTGTCTTTGTGCTGAACTGCTGACCATGATGGGGCTCAGAAGACGAGGATGCGATCACTGGAACAAGAAATTCATTCGCCTGACGTTTCGGATTTTCATTCGAATCCATCATCAGAGACATTCGCAGATGAAGGTGATGGTGGCACAGGAATTGCAGTATTTATAGCACGTGACTGCCGTGGGACCATACAGCGAGCATATGGTCCGACGGCAGTCACGTGCTATAAATACTGCACTTCCTGTGCCACTATCACCTTTACCTGCGACTGTCTCTGATGATGGATTCGAGTGGGAATTCGAAACGTCAGGCTAATAAATTTCATGTTCCAGTGATCGCATCTTCTGAACTGCCACCTGGAACTCGCCTGTTCGCTTCTATCAGCATGATGGGGCTTTTGTTGGTAGTCATCATCACTTGGATCGATGCTGCCAACAGGGTTTTTGCGAGCTTTCGGTCTGTCGTATCATCTTCATCGCCAAGAAGATCTCCGTCTACCAGTCATCAGTCATCCATGAAAGACGTATAAAGTAGTTAGGCCACTTTCTTTGTTAGTACTGTTGCCCTTGATGCAACGCCGCTGCTTAATTTGGGACGGATATGAGACTAGCTCAAAACCTTTCTCGGCAGACGAGGTTTGGACCCGTGGATCCTTGTCACCCTGTCTTTGTCGTTGGAGAAGAATGGACTGGACCATCCGTATTCCCCAGTGTCCGTTCGGGGGAGGGGGGTAGGTACTATCCATGACATCTCTGTGGCCCGGCTGCTCGACAGACGCTCGTAAAAGCACCAAGTACTGGTCAAGTTCATCAAGCATCAGACCGTATATCGCCTCTTTTCTAGGCCCAAGCAAATATGCACCGGCATAGGTTTGCAAGCCATCACCGATTTTGTCCACATGTTCCGTCCTGTCTATGAAGTCACTTTAGGCCAGACCATGCGAAACAGTCACAACAGTGACTGTTGACGGCTGGTAATAATGGCTTTAGGAGGTCTGAACGTTTGGTCAGTGCATTGAAGACTAACCCATACCGTTTCCCAGCTGGGTCTCATTCTTACACCACGCGCACACAGGGAAGGATGAGAGCAGTGATGCTTGTAGCACTATCAATCGCTAGACCGTATGCCGAGGCAGCTTTCGCCCCCTTGCTATGTTTGCCCTACAAGAGGAGGGCACATGTGCGTGCCCAAAGGGTTTTGTAACTGAGAGGTCGAGGTTTCGCCGCATGATTTGCTGACCTCACCAGGCATGTCATCTTTTCCGGGTACCTTGTTGCTGCAGAGGATGATTGTTTAACCGGGAATTTTTCTCCGGAAGGCCGAGTCACTCCATATTTCGTGAATTGGAAATGAACGAAGCTCTACCTTTACGACTGTGGACGCAAATTCCATTTGGGCCAAGCCTCTGCTGCCCGGATTCCTAAGCATCTGTTGAATGCCGACGTGGTGGCTATCGTGTGGCATGCTGAAAAATAACAATGCTTAAATTCGGCCATATCGTGGTTCGCAGCCAGCGGTGATTTGAACTACTGACGTCTGAGATATTCCGTTACACCGTAGTTAGACTTCAAAAGTCCGAAAAGTCTGAGGAGATAGTGTGAATCAAACAGGTCATGTGACCCTTAGACACCTGTGTGCACCAACACTGCACATATCATGTCGCAAATCATTATAATAACATTTGATATTCGTACATATTCCGCAAACTTTCTGGGGCCGGTCTGAGAGGATATTACTGGCCCTTCAGCAACAAGGTCAATGCTTAACTGCTCCTTTTGCTGTTTTATGTCAACTCACAGAAGCTGAACAAAGCCGCCAATAACCACAATCAATCGGACATTGAGGCTTTATTAAACAAAGAGAAGGCAAGTGGTGAGGACAAGAAGGATCCCTCCGGCACTGTCGGTGTGCTGTGGCTCCAGCGGGGCATAGAATTCCTTCTGGAGTTTTTCCACATCTTTCTAGCCACGCCCAGCGGCGAGACGTCTGGCATGATGCAGTCGGCCTACGAGCGTACGCTGAAGAGACACCATCCCTGGATAACTCAGAAGACATTCAAGGTAGCTGGCGCCACTTTTATGCGTCGACTTGAATGTTATGTTCCCCCCTTGTTTTACCCCGTTTTTTCTCTCAACTGCGCCCTGGCATAACGTTTTGCCTGTCGGTGGCACAATTCTGAAGCCACAAATCATATCACCTGAAAAGAGTATTTTACTAGTTTAGAAGATTACCGAGAAGCCCTCGTCTAATGGTCGCTACGTTGACGACATCTTTGCAATTGCCACCAGACAAAACAACATAAACGCCCTCTTGGATGCTTTAAATCAAGCACATCCGTTGGAGGTGGAAAGGGCAGGCTCACTGTCCTTCCTAGACGTACTTCTAGGCAAAAGAGCCGACGGCAGCATCCGAAGAAGGATCTATCGAAAGGGCACCTGGTCTGAACAGTATACGAACTTCTACAGTTTCGTACCCCTTCAACAGAAACGTAATCTAGTCCACTGTTTGGCGCAAAGGGCTAGAAAAATCTGGCCGGCAGATAGCTTTGGTGAGGAACTTAAAGGGAGCCAAGACCTGGTTCGCAAGAACGAGTATCCTGACAGATTTATTGTAAGGAATCGTGCCGAACGACCGGAAATACTCATTATACCGACCGCAAAAAAGAAAACTGTTCCTCAAACTCCCCTTTCAAGGGAACGCGGTGAGTGAGCTCCTGAGAAGGCGTCTTGACCAAGTCGTCTCACGGACCTTCTCGGCAGCAAGATTTCAAGTATTGTTTTCAACCAACCTCGGTCTTACGCGGGGAATGTAAGGACGGGCTACCAGCTCAAACCACCCCCATGTGCATTTTCTCCTTTACTTGCTCCTGTGGAGCAGGCTACATTGGTCGTACGAGTAGGCGCCTATCCGCAAGAATACGAGAACACCTGCCGGCATGGCTGAGGAAGGATGAAGTTAAGAACATGCACAGCTCCATTCTCGCACACATGGTTGATTCTGGACATCCTGTGGATCCCAACGAAGCCTTCCGTGTGATTTAAAGGGTCCCACCTAACTACCCTAAGCGACTGGGTTAGCGCCTACTAGAAACAGCAGAGGCAACTGCCATCAGGGTACGGAGGCCGGTCCTGTGCGCTTAGAATTAAACGTTTATTTGAGAGGGCATTTGGTACTCACCAATGTTCCTGTTTTCTGCATCAGACATACAGTAATGTCGACGGAAATTCCGAAATGCTTTTTCGTTTCGAAAAGATTAATTAAGTAGGGTTGTAAAACTGATTAACACACAGCATAATCCCATGATAATTCAGTTACCTCAAGATGCTGACTGTCGAACGAACTTCTTTTCGACGTCATGAGAAAACTATACTCTGTAAAAAATGACTACTTAAGTAGCATGCATTTTTCATTGATTTTCGATGCCCTTTAATATTCGATGGAGTTTTTGAAAACTGAACTATACTCTTCCTTTGAATATAAAATTGGAAGAAGACGTAATTTTCTACCGAATGAGCAAAAGAATGAATATTTTAATGCATATTTTCAATGAACTTTCAATGAAATATGATTGAATTCCTGAGGGCATCAAAAATCAATGAGAAGAATGCATGCTTGTTAAATAATCATTTTTTACAGAGTATAGTTTTTGCATGCAGACGGAAAGAAGTTCATTCGAAGGCGAGCACCCTGCGGTAACTGAATTATGATCGAATTATGCTGCGCGATGATCAGTTTTACAACCCTACTTAATTAATCTTTTTGAAAGGAAAACGCATTTCGGAATTTCGGTCGACATTTAATGAGTTAGCCCACCTACTTTAGCTGAGGAATTTACTAAAGTACCGAGCTTCCGCGCGTATTATAGTCTTCCAACATAACTAGTAGACTCTTGCTGTTGCCAGTCTGCGATGGTTGCATGCTTCTCCGCCCTCTTGAAGTCTTCCTGGAAGCATCACTTCCTCTCTGACCTAAGTGACCGTAAAGGCGGTTGCAAAGATAACGACCTATGCATCATGTTGCTTCACTTCTTTCATTGGCATTCTTTTCAAGAAGCATCAGGTCTTAGGAGTTCTCGGTACCGAGATGTAGGACGGCTGGGTCGCTATGTTTTCTCTGCACCTGAGAGAAGTATGCCTACAGCGATTTCTTGTTTTGTATCCACAGGCCATTTCTCATCTGTTGCCCTCGCGGAACAGTTTCCTCAAGGTCCTCGGTCATGGTCAGGCGACGGAACAGCAGGTGAGTCCTCAGTTTGAACTTTCTGCGACGACGACGTTCGGTGACTGCGAGCGAGACGGACTTGCGCAGCATCTACTGCACCCTGTCTCCCTTACCTACCAGTTTCAGATAATAAGAAAATGCCAAGATTACCGGCAGTGGCGTGCCACACGCACGACCAAGTTTTGACGGTGCCGACTCAGATCTCACACTAGTGAGTGCTGTAAAGGCCACATTAAGAATGAGCCACTGAATCTGCCAGTCTTCCAGCTAGTCGTCCCACATACAGTTCGTGACCTATCTGATCAAAGGTCACAAACTGTGAACTTAAATCGCTGTAGCGCACGAAACGCCCACCCCGCATCCACGGCAGTTATACTGCGTTAAAGATACGACCGAGATTCAAAATAACGCACAGTTTGATTTATAAAATGTTATTTCTTGACTAAGAAATAATTTATTTTACAAACTTTGAAGAAGAAGAAGAAGAAGAAGAAGAAGAAGAAGAAGAAGAAGAAGAAGAAGAAGAAGAAGAAGAAGAAGGTGGGCTCAAGTCAAAAAACGACTCTATGACAGGTCGACTATTCAAGGCCTAAAATAACTGCCAGCAGAGAAGGGGAATGTCATAAAACAACAAAATGATAAAAAAAATAGTTACAAGTACAGCGTATCAGTACTTAGTCGATTGTTCTTTAGCTTTCAAAGTTGCCGCAAGTAGAGGGGCATGGAGACTATCAAGTTGTCTAAGGTGGTTTGGTCTATGTAATTGTTAAGCAAAAATGCCAACTTTTGTTCCATAGAACGATGTTTTCTTGCCTGGTCCCAATTTTTTGATTAGTGCAAAAAGATTTTCGAGGGGATTTAGTCCGGGCTGTTGGCGGGAATAAAAATGCTTTGAAGGCTTCAGGCGGAGAGGCTGGCTGTGGTCTAAAATGTAAGATTATAGTCGTAAGCTGAATTTGAATCGTACCTCCTTTGAGCGATGGACGGGGGCATTATCCTACAACATTACGGTGTCCATTCGACGTCGATACACGCCGTTGTAAACGAAGGCATCCTTTACGATGTTGATGAGCACCTTGCTACTTATCGTCTCCGCTGTTGAACGCCAGACCGGTCGCTCTCCGAATTTGATGACCATCCAAACCATCAGGCGTCGACAGTTCTTGAATTTTGGTGTTGATATAGTGTGCTCTCGTGCAAAGTTCTTCCCACACATGATCATCTAAGCCGACTTCGGAGGCTTGTCTTAAAACAAGAGCTCATCACAAAAGTAAATGCTTTTCCAGAAGGAAAGTCTGTGATCGATATATTTTTGAGCAAACAAAAAGCGTTCCCTTATAAGTTTTCTACTTAAAAATGACTTTCTCATGGCGTTTTGCTGATGGGGACCGAACTCTTTCGTTCTTTTTCTAATTATGCGCAAAGAAAACATTGGCAGGTGTTCCCTGTAAATAGCCTTAAGGGGCATATAGTGATACTTTTTCAGTGTCCGACGAATGAAATCGTCGTCTTCCTTGCTTGTGGACCGTTTCGGCCCACCTTGCTTTGTTCTACGCATTGTTTTGTTATTAATAATTCTCTAGAGAGTGACTTGGCTACTGTTGAAAGTACTAGCTAACGACTCACGCGGCAGCCCTTCGGCTGCCAATTTTCGTATCCGCTCAAAGTCAACTTCTGATAGGAACTGTTTCGACATCTTTGCTGCACGGCGTGGCAAATAAAAGTGGCAGCATGTAGCGCGCAATCTATACATACGTGTTTACGCCTACTAGTTCCCGGTGTAGTTAGACAAATACTGCCCAAAAAGTATATTACTGCGTTTAACGATGCAAAACGTTGCAGTCTTGATAAATGGAATTTATAAAGAGCAAATTGCTTCTTGATTCATGAGAATAATTTGTTTTTACATACTTGATCTGATTTTCATGAACCAAAAATTACAATCTCAATTTCCAGAGTGGTCTTTTTTGATATTTTTCTTTGTTATATGAAAGTTCCTTTATAACAGAACGCTTACAAATAAGAGCTTTTAATAGGGGATACTTATTGGAACAGGAAACTAAGTGGATATCAGGAGACGTCAAAATTTGCCTCATTTTGGTCCGTTTCCCCTCAATAGAACTGAACTAACATGACCTCTTCTTCAGAAAAGAGCATTTTTGGATTGCAATCAATTCTAAAAACAAGAATAACCACACAAAATATATGCCGCCCCAACAACTCAAGTACCGATCTCGAAGTTTCATGAGTTAGGTCATCTACTGTGCATAGTACTGGCCGTGGGAACCAGTTTACCTCATCGGTTGGCAACCTTCCTAGCCACGAATTGCAGCGGGTCATGATATGCATGGAATGGCCGGATAGGCTCGTGTGGTGACCGAATGTCCGAATTCAGGGCGCGCAGGGTGAAGCGTGTGCCCCTTCGGTGAAGGCCGAGACCTACGGCCAGTATAGAGGTATCGTAAACGTAAAGGACCTAATAGAAGCGAATATACGAGTCCCAGGAAGCAGTCTTGAAGAAGGACACACGATCGCCGGGACAAGAGCTTTATTAGCCTGACGTTTCGGATTCCTGCTCAAACCCGTCATCAGAGCCAAAGCAAACATATCATCAGAAACAAACGCGTATCTGCTTTGTCTCTGATGATGGGTTCAAGCAGGAATCCGAAACGTCAGGCTAATAAAGCTCTTGTCCCAGCGATCGTGTCTCCTTCTTTAAGTAAAGGACCTACATTTTTGAACTAACTCGGTCGATAGTGTCCCTTGACTTCGCCTCGGACTTCCTCTCCACCCTAGTCCCTCCCCTCCTTCCACAGCTAACTGCATGGAATGAGTGTGTTTCTTGCTGGCAGCTGCAACTGTTCCGCCGAACCGGGTGCCAACCGTTGGTGCTATTAACCACGGTGTGAGGTGTGTGCGTGCGTCTAAGCTGTGTCCAGCTGTGGCCAATCGTTAGACAGAATATCGGTGGGCGCCAGTAGACCGCCATACCCCTCTAGGGCGAGCGAAAACCAAAGGAATTCCGTCGAACTACAAACGTGGGACGTGTTTGCTCTGATGAGGGGGACGTCTGGACGTGAAAGCCGAACAATCATCCTACATGTTCAGCCATCCTTAGCTCACAAGACGGCCGATCACGCAGGTTAGGGGGTCGTTACTGGTTCGAAAGGCTGCTGGCTGCCGGAATGGTCCTGTTCTTCCATGGAGCTGGCCAGACCGCAATACTCCATTGCCGATATGGCTTTTATGACCCCTCTCACGTACGTCGGGCCCGAACGTGTTTGTGGCATGCGTTGGACAGCGGCTTTAAGTCACGTCGCCCACTGCGCCCAGCCTCATCCCCTGTCGGGTTCACTCGCACTGACCACTTACGTGAATAATAGGAGACTGAGGTTGATCCAGACGGAGTCCTGGGCCTTGTTTCCCCTCCATAAAGGAAATCAGACCCGCTTTTATCATGTCGTGCCTTCGAAGTTCTCCAACTGACGGGATAAATCAGCCCTACTCTTGACGGGGGATGGCTTACAATTGCTACAATCACAAGTGGCCGCTCACACCTACGAAATGGGTCACGAGTTTAACTTCGCAGCCACCAAATTAGTCGCCCACGCTGGAAACAAAACAGACCGAGAATTGACTGAAGCCTGGGCCTCGGATGAGAACTCAGTCAGACGATTTATCCATCTGGCGCCGGCGTAGAGAACCCTGCGTAGTCACCTCCAGTCTTGCGCCGTCCGTCGATGATTTGCGTACATGCCTTATAACTGTCGCTTGTTCTGTTTCTGCTACTTCCTCTGACGATGTACCCCTGTACGAGTCTGAAAGCTCAGGACAATAAACAAAGTGTTCCGATGCTCGACTCTTCTTCTTCACTTATTGCTACTTCTTGATGTGATCCTTATGGCACGTTCATTTATGGGAGACCTGAAACCCCCTCCTCGGAGCCATGTCATGTGTGGCATGCGTACACGCAGCGGCTCCCGCGCAAATCACCACTGCGTCCGAGGCTGATCTCCTTGCTGTCTGCAATTTTGTTTTCGAGCAGGTCTTTTCTTTTATTCCAAGTACATTTGTCGTTTGTGTTAGTGACTCTACAATTGGAATTTTAGACTCTCTACGAAATGGGCCAATTCCTCCTTGCCTACCAGCAGCCGATGAGCCAACTGACACTACTCCTCCTCAGACTAGGAATCGAGTCGCCGAGGAGTCCCGTAGATCCGCTCCCCGATGTCAAAACTTTAGTTCCCAGCTCCCCGCCGGAGGAAAGCGTCTCGACCGATAAATGATTATTCCCACTACTTCTCACGCCACCACCGCCGTTGTCATGAGCTTGCCCACCGCAATGCCCATCTTGCCGCAACGTTGTTGCGACCGGCTGTGATTTCTTTTGGGAAAACAGAAAATCATAGTTTCTTTCTTTACTTACTCCTCAAGATTGTGTTCCCCCCAGCAACTCCCTTTTGTGATATTTGATAGCTATTCAGCAGTATTTGAGGATATTTTGACTACTGACAGTCTTTTCCATTTTGTTGACCTTTGGTTACTTGGTGGAGAGGTAGTTGGGCTTTTTAGTGTAATACCTATCGAGGACATAGCGTTTGGCAATTCTCGAAGAGTCAACAGTCTCGGCCGCTGTTAGGGGTTTGTGGAAGCCTGGATGCCACGCCCCATGTCCAGGTCGCTTGTTGCCTCGTGGGCGGCAAGGACGGTTGCGGTTGACCGGACGCCTGTGCGCGAAATAAGGTCAGCGCGTCTGAGGACGCCGGTAGGGACAGTGAATGACGTTGACGGCGGGGTAAGGTCAGCGCGTCAGAGGATGTTCCCAAGACCGATGAATGACCTTGAAGCAACAGCGGGTGGCACAATTGTAGCGATCGGTCGCACTGACAAAGGGGTCAGTCTGTGGCGCCCATTGACGCACAGCAATCGTCATGCTTTCGCTATGCATTCGTGCAAAATCGGAGGCGGTTGTTTGAAGTCTTGCCTAATATCTGCGTTGGGTTGAAGGACTTTCCGTTTACAAAGTACGCTGGTGATTTCTATGTGTGGCAGTCAATATTCCTGTTAATGCTTTACAAAGGTGTTTAACCCTCACCGAGGAAGTCATTTGGGATGCATTCGGTGAGATTATATAGATGGGTTACCACATCAGTTGCCTTGCGAGATTCCATTTTAATATTGACGCTAACAGGCAGGCGGCTAGTACGCGGTTTTACCTTCCAAAGACAGGTTTCCTGATCCACCGAATATTGCGTTGATTCGGCCTTCACTTGCTCTCGTCAAGTCGAAACCAGACGCGCTGGGTCCGAAGCGGGTTGTGTGGTTTTCTCTATTCGAATTCAGCTCACAACTCGCATAAATATGTCCGCAAGTGGTTCACGGCCTGGCCTCTGTTCTTCTCAACCACCAAAGCCATGTTTTCCGTAGTGGAAGCTGAGCTTCTGGTGTATTTCGGCGTGCTTTCAGACACTTTGCCGCCACGCTCACACACCCATATTCTTTTGCGTTTGGCGCGCGCAAGGCCTGCTCATCGACTCAAGGTCATCTGCATCCTCAGACGACCATGTACGCCCAGGCCTCGGGGTGAGTCGACACGTGCGAATCAGGTCACAAAGCGTGAACCTAGCTCCCGTGCACCTGTAAAAGCTGAGGAGCACCCGTACTAGGCACTCTGTCGGGCAACTACTTAACGCTGTCAACACATGTCAGGGCCCCGGCAACAGAACTGGCATTTACACAGAACAAATCCCTCTGGTATCCTCTATCTTGCCAACTGGAGCTTGGTTCTGGTTAAAGCGCATCCGCCCTCTTAGTCGATACAAAGTCTCGCGCTATCCGACGGTGTTACCTCAGTACAATTCTTAGCCGTTGATGACTGCTGATTAGTGCTGCGTACCAGCACGCGGTAACTAGGAAATTCGACCGATGTCACTTTCTGATGGCTTTTGCGCCTCTCTTGGTTAGAAGCACCTGCCTCCTAGTCTGTCTGTCTTTTAAAGAGAAACATTATCCAAAACAAGAAAAACAAATTCACAAAAGTATGTTACTGCACGCTGGCAGGCTGTGAGGACGAATTACGAATTTACGAACTACCGCTGTTGATGTATCAACCTGGGGTTTGAACCCGGATCCATTGGCCTACTGAGCATCCGGGTTCAACGCTTTTACGAACTGAATTACGGGGTCTTGTCCTCCGTTCCGCGAGCGAGGCTTTTCAACTCACATGGAAGTTACGCTCACTGATCTATCCTCCTTTTTGCAGAACAAGAATGGGTATCTCTAAAAAACCGCATTTCCCCGGGGATTTTGTCTCTTAGATCTGATCATCAAAATAATAGCCTATGCGTCCTAGAGTTTTAAAGGAAGGATGAGAGCATGTCAGGAGATGGCCAAACATTTCTGGCCGCATCGTTTGCACTGACTGGACTTCCAACTATGCAGGTCAAACTGGCGAATACTTCATAAGCATGCGGGAGCGCCATTCGCAGGCCAAACCCACTGTCTAGAGGGAAACGTTAACTCCAGATTTGCAGACACGTCAGTGTTAGGGTGGGTCACCAGTAAGAAGACGCGGGAGGTGAACGCGACATGGAAATCGAGTCAAGCATCGCTAAACAAGTGCGTTTGGCTGGCACTCCCATGTATAGCACATGCTGGCCCGGCTGATGACTGTCACTGGGGCCGAGCTGACTGACGGGTCTATCACTGCCTTATTTTATGTATCTGAAGCTCCATTGAAACCCCTAGTGAGCCCATGATTGACCCCAATCCAGGTTCCGCAGCCATGAAGTCCTTCGTCAGTTCAAGAACATGGCGCCAAAATCGGTTAGAGACGACTGCAGAAAACTATTTGGCTGATGTAGCGAAATCCGCCAAGGAGGCCACATACCTCAGTAACACTCTAAACTCGAACAAATTATTCGCGAAGTCATCGATGGCCAATTTGCCCGATGTGAGTCTGTTCACAGTACGGGTAGCGGATTTATCACCGACAACGAGGTGGAGAGATACTTGTCGCGTGATGAACAGAGTTCGGAAACATTCATGCTTCTCTTGAAGAAGGGAAATAACATGAACCAAGAGAACTAACGTAACGTATGATATGTCGACATTGCTGCTACTATCATTCTTGGCCGCTTTTAGAGTGCATGTAACTTTTGGATGAGTCCAAGCCAAGTCGGGTTTCAGGCAGAGCGTTGACTTACGGATCAAGCATTCTCACTGTGACGCATTCTTGAAACCCGCTATGACCATCAGGAGCCCACGGCCGTCCGTCCTACTGATTTTATTGCAGCGTTCAATTACGTCCATCAGTACGCGGGGAAGAGTAGTCACTGCGATCAAGACCTGCCGCCGTTTCACCTTTGGGCGGTTTCCGGTTTACAACAAATTCCCTCAACCGTTGGATATTCGATATGGCGTTTGACGCGCCTGTATTCTGTCGCCGGGTCTGTTCGACGACCTCATCGACTAGATTCTCGGCAGGCCTCTAGGGAGATTTGATAGTGTCGAATTTGCGCCTAGACGCCGGCTGACTGACTTCGACTACACTGTTAGAGCTAAGCCACGATGTTCAGTAGACCATAGTTCCGAGGGTGGATGAGGTCTCTATCGGCCCTGTAATGACAACAGTGCTTTGAGAATGCATTTCTAGCCAGGCTTAAGCTCTTCACGAAGTTACTAATTGTCAGCCGAGGAAAGTGGATATATTTAACTACCTCGTAGCCAAGTTGCCGCCAAATGTAGAGAGGGAAGGCGTCATTTCTCGAGTCATTATTCCTCGCAGGCTGCAGCTCAGGCTAAATGCAGGTCCATGTGTCGCCCTTCTAGGTCAAAAGGTCTGTAGGTGTGTGCTACGCCAGTATCAGAAAACCTTGGCCCTCGCAGCCTGGTATGCGCCGGCATTTCTCTGACACCTGATTCCCTGCCTGTAGATGCGCTTGCGCTCCCGCTAGGTACACAGGTGGTGGGCAGGCTACCCAGTCATCCTCATCGCCCTGGACCCTGTTCGGATGTGTTGTTGCCGTTGTTGGCGAAAAATCCTGGTCATTTGCTGTGTGGACCAGGGGGTGTTATGACACACCTAGGTGCAGCTCCAGCCGTGCCAGCCACCTGCGCCCTCCCCCCAACTCCGGTCTTCTTGACTCTGTCTTGACACCGGGAGCGGGCGGCGAATGGCGAAGAGAGACTGAGTGAGATGCTGCGAAAGTCTACTATCATTATAAACTAATTCACGCGCAAGCCAGCGTCCCTGCTCTCACACTGCAGTGAAGCACACGGGGGACATCATCGAACTCGACGGCCGAACTATCGCGTTTTTGGTCCCAGTTGGTGGTCAGAGTTATGGTTGGCTGAATGGAAGCAAACAAGCCCGAAACGGTTTTGTACCAACCTACCCCCAGACTCCATCTTCTTCCCGGGCTCGTGGCCCGGTGGATAGAGGCGTGGACTTCTAAACCAACAGGTCGCGAGTTCGAGGCTCGGGTGTTCCACACTTCGGGCTTGGGTATGGCTGGCTGACGACGGCTAATAAGCCAGAAATGGCCATTCCAGTCTCCCTTGTCTTTGTCGGTAATGCCATTCTGCCTATGTATCATGCGCCGCTGTGCGGCTGCTGGTTGGTCTCGAGAGAGAGCCCTTAAGGCACAACGGAACGAGTAAGTTCTGTATGAACGATCGGTGAGCGCCCCCTACCATTGTATATATATATATATATATATATATATATATATATATATCAATCAGGAATGCGCGCACACCGATCTATTGGCTTCACAAAGCAAACAAGCTCCGTATGTGTGGCAAAGGTCACGAACAGGCAACCAATTACCAGGCCGAAGTCGGCCAAGTCATAATAGCAGCGAGGAGGGACGACAGAGAATGCGGGTAGATTGATACAGCACTGTTTCGGGCTTATTCTGCCTTCATTCAGCCAATCATAACCCTGACCACCAGCAGCTGAGACCAGAAACACAAACATGCGCACAGACGCACCTGGCGCAGTCGGTCCACCACTGAGGCCTACCAGATGGGTCATAAGCACTTCATCGAACCGAAGTTCATCAGTGCCTCGCCACCTGTCATTCTCTGTCGCTGCAGATCGGGTATTTATCAATCAGGAATGGGCGCACACCGATCTATTGGCTTCACAAAGCAAACAAGCTCCGTATGTGTGGCATAGGTCACGAACAGGTAGAGCGTTCAACTCCATGACCAAAGATCCCGGGTTCGAATCTCTAGTGATCCACACTTGGGGTTGGGTATGACTGGCTGATGACGGCTAATA